TGTTGTTTAGTCGTTAAGTTGTGTCCGACTCTTCGTGACTCCCATGGACCAGAGCATACCAGGCCCTCCTGTACTATGAGGTCTGTACTATGGGGATTAACCAAAGGATTTTGGGGGGCCCTTCCAGAAGAAGGACTGCAAAGTGTAACGAACCGGCCTCAATGCTGATATCTCATTTCTTGTTTTGCCACAAGCTGGTGGCGATCCTTGGATTCATCTGATGTGAAATACTCATAGTTACAATGCATAATCAAGACTCCACATTAGACAGAAGTCATAAACCAGAAGCCATTGGAAAGATATGGGAAACTCTGTTATACTGGATCCTGCTCAGTATGAAGTCCGGGAGAGTTTGATGGGGGCCCTTCCCAGCCCTACCTGGTAATGCCAGGGTGAAAGTAAATGCCCGAAAGCATAACCTCTCTCACAGCTGTGGGATTTGGTCCAGCTGCCAAAGGGCTAGAGAACAGGAGATGCCTAAGCACCCCAAAGGATGCTCTGTGAAGCCCAACCCATTATAGCCCCTATGACTCTACTCGTCCTTTAAGAGGGATGACAAAATGTTAGTGGCAGTCCAGCACTGTGATTTACACCAGCAACAATATTCTAGCTAAAAATATTTCAAAAATTCAATACTAGGGGTTAAAGAAAAGTATCTCAAAATTAGAAGGGAAGCAAAACCACCTTTATGGGTGAAACAGCAAAGAAACCATGTTTTCCAGACCCACTTGAATTAGAGAAGACTTTATTTATTTATTTATTTATTTATTTGATTTTTACCCCGCCCCTCTAGACCATGTCTACTCGGGGCGGCTTACAAAATAAAACAAAACAGTATAAAAATATATAAAATCATAAAAATGCATTTTCTTACTGTTTATAGATCGCAATAAGATCATCGTCATCATCCTGGATTCATCCCTAAGCTTGGAGGTCTCAGTGGTGGCCAGGAGTGCATTTGCACAGCTAAAGCTGGTGCACCAGCTGCACCCGTTCCTTGAGATGTCGGATTTGGCTATAGTGACACATGCCTCAGTTACATCCAGTTTGGATTACTGTAACATGCTCTGTGTGGGGCTGCCTTTGAAGACAGGTCAGAAACTTCAGCTGGTGCAAAACTCTGCAGCCAGACAACTGACTGGGGCCAGCTACAGGGAGCATACAATGCACCTGTTACAAGAACCGCACTGGCTACAAGTCCGTTTCCAGGCCCAATTCAAAGTGCTGGTCATTTCCTATAAAGCCCTATATAGCTTGGGTTCAGGTTACTTGAAGGACCGTATCTCCCTATATGAGCCTTCCTGGCGATTAAGATCAGCAGAGGGGTCCCTCCTCTCGGTCCCATTGCCAGCACAAGCACAGCTGATGGGGACACAGGAGAGGGCCTTCTCGGTGGCAGCTCCCAGGCGATGGAATGCTCTCCCTCGGGAGATCAGGAGGGTCCCTTCCCTTTTATCCTTTCGAAAAAAGCTAAAGACCCATCTCTTCAGGCAGGCTTTTAACAGTTATAACTGAATCCCTGAACCCCAAGTTAGCAGATAATTTTAAACTTTTCCATGTCTTCATCTTTTAATTTTATTTTAAATCACATATTGTTTAATTTGTCTTTTAATATTTAACTTATTGTGTTTTTAATTGTGTGAATTTTAATGTTGTGAGCTGATTTGGGTTCCTTGTTGGGAGAAATGTGGCATAGAAATAAAACTAATAAATAAAATCATGATCCCAGAACTTCAGAGCTGGAAAGGACCCTACCGGTCATTGAGTCAAGGAGAGGCTGTGCTCAATGCAGCTTATAGTATACCATCAATTCTCCATAAGGACAAAATCAACCTGAAAATAATCTATCTGACAGAAACACAGTATAGGGAGGGGTAACACTGACTCATGTTTAGTTTCCTAAGTGTAGGGTTTCAGGCATATCACCTTCAGTTTTCACCAAGACCCACCTTACTAAACAAATACAACACAGACGTTACCTGATTATAAATGTTTTGCTGCAGCTTTAATCCCCTTTCGTGTAGCTGGAGCTATAGGAAACATAAAAGCACACGAAATAATTAGTACATTTCCTGAAAAAGAAGAGCTTTGCACAACCTGACAGGTAAGTAAGCTGTGTTCTTTTCCAGCAATCTGGAAGCTACTCGGCGGGCTTAAGTTGTGTACTCTGAAAACATTTGATGACTTGTCAAATGGAACTAGTTTCATTTCTCTTTGTGAGGTACGTAACTTTTATGCATGGTGGGAAGCTGTCCAAATTTGTAAGAATTAAATCAGTCCCCAATCCATTTCACTCTTCTCTGCACATCTATCTTGGTCCCATGCCATAAGCACTCCCTACGGCTGGAATTCACACTCTCCACAAGATCCTTCCCATACTGGAATCCTAACTAGAGATGGGCATGAACCCTGGTTCGAAGGTTCATGCGACTTTGTCAGACCGGCACCCCAGCTGCCACGCATTCCCTTCCCCCACTTTCCCAGCTGGATTCTCCACTTGCCAGCCAGTGGACGTTGCTCTCCTCCTCCTCCTCCTCTTTGGGCATTTGTCCAGTCCTGGCAAGTCCCTCCTCTGCCTCCTCCAGCAGCTGCCCACTCAAAGGCAGAACTGCAAGAATCCCTGCCCCGTCTCCTTGTCTGAGTGGATGGCTGCCAAAGGAGGCGGAGGGGAGTTGCAGGCACTCCTGCCAGGACTGGATGAATGCCTGAAGAGGAGGAGGACAGTAGCATGTGCTGGCTGGTGAGTGGAGGATCCAGCCAGGGGGCTGGGGGAAGGGAACCGGTCTGACGAACCAGCACAAACCTCCAAACCAAGGTTCATGCCCATCTCTTCTTTTAACCCAAGCAGAAGTTTCTTCCCTGTTCTGATGCCTCTGCCCCCCCCCCTCTCTCTCACTCATCACTCACACACACACACACACAGAGAGAGAGAGAGAGAGAGAGAGAGAGAGAGATTTTCCTTTATAAGGAAAACTGGAGTGAAGAACTATGTGGATCTATTCTACTTCTGAAACACCCGCACCTACCATGGCTTTTATAGCTGCAGTCCTAACCCGAGGATCCTGGTCATTGAAATGATCCCCAATGATCTTCTGGACATCTTTGGGAGGCTGGCCTTCTGCTTCTTTCACAACACCTTTTTCCACAGTCCCAAGGCAGCCAATTAAAAGGAGGCATTTGTTCCTTACACCATGGGAAGAATCAGTCAGGTGCTGCGGAATAGAAAGTGAAACAAAGACAACTCCTTGTTTTCTCCAGACTGAAGCAATTTTAGTTGCAAACATATAGCTCCTGTCTTGGGCTGCAACTTTCTTCTGGCATTTTTAATCTGTAGCCTGCACAATTAAATTGTAAACCGCCCAGAGAGTGCTTTAAGCACTATGGGGCAGTATATAAGCAGCACACTTTACTTTCTGCCTGATATTCCCATCCTTGGAAAGGACACAACCTGGATATTTTACAACACACGTATCAGCAATCATGAGTCTCCAGGCAAACCAAAAGGATATAAAAGCATTTTTGTTTTCAGTATCTGGTGCAAGTCTCGCACTCATTAATCACTCCTCCATTGGGATCACCCACCCTCTGGCAATCAGCTATTCCCCTGAACAAAGGCCAGGCCACTAACTGTGTTTCTTCCTAAGTGAAATTGGATTTTTAGGTTTTCACAACTGTCAGGGGTCTGCCATCCTAAGTATTTTTGGACTACAGCTCCCAGAATTCCCCAAACAGCATGAGCAACAATGACAAAAACAGTAATAACAGATACGATTTTCAAAAACCTTTTGGTACTGTTGGTAAATAGCAAGCACGGCTGGCTGGATTAGTGAGTTAGATATCTGACTTCAAAGCCAGAGGTTGGGAGTTCCATTTCCCACTGGGCCTATCAGGAGAAGAGCCAGCCTGTGTAGCCTTGGGCAAGCTGCACAGTCTCAGAGCGCCCCTAGAGGAAACGAAGGGTAAAGCACTTCTGTGTACTCCACACTTAGAAAAACTTGGAAAAATCTTACTGTACGCCGGAATTAATGGGGCACAATTATTATTGTTAAATAGCATGTATCTCGGTAGGGACATGGTGGCACTGCGGATTAAACCACAGAAGCCTCTGTGCTGCAAGGTCAGAAGACCTGCAGTTGTAAGATCGAATCCATGCAACGGAGTGAGCTCCCACTGCTTGTCCCAGCTCCTGCCAACCTAGGCGTTCACAAGCATTCAAAATGTGAGTAGATAAATAGGTACCACCACAGTGGGAAGGTAACGGCATTCCGTGTCTAGTCCTGCTGGCCACATGACCACAGAAGATTGTCTTCGGACAAACACTAGCTCTATGGGTTGGAGAAGGGGATGAGCATCGCCCCCTAGAGTCGGACATGGCTGGACAAATTGTCAAAGGGAACTTTTACCTTTACCTAGCATCTATCTCCTTCCCAGGAATTAATTCTACACAGGGCGTTAACTGGACAGTTACACCTTTTATGCGCTATAAGAACAAATGCAAAACCACTTTGACAGTATAAGTTAAAGCCACTCTTTAACATCCATATACTCAAGAGGTGAAGAACTCAATGGCCAGTTCCAATGGCAGGGCATTATTCATTCCAAACGATCGCTCCCAGAATACATCAGGAGTATGGCATTCTGAGAACTGAACCTAAAAAAAAATGTTTCCCCATGCACTGACCATCCTACTTACCTTGCAGGCAACATCTACCAGGCGCATCCGCACAGCAAGGACGTCCTGGAGCTTCTTCCCAATCACCAGCAGGGTGTCCAGCAACTGAGCAAGAACTTGGTGCGATTCTGCCAACAACAATAATAACAATACTAAAAATCACTGTTATTTACATTCACGAAGACCCCCAGTGTTCTAGAACCTGACACATCAAACCGGATGAAAGTTTCCATGCATCATCTGTAGCTGAGTGAAGGCACGGTTCAATGAAACTGTGACCCAGAGGAAGGAAAGAGTCAAGACAAAGAACATGATTTCTTATCCTTCTTCATTACCCTTCTTAATTCATAATAATTAATTAAGAATGGTAGGGGCAAAGGGACTGCATGCTGTTAAACAGCGCTCAGGTGGCAGAACCAGAGCTGAAAACAATGGGATAGACAGAGCAGCATTCTGATTAAATAAAAGGCAGTCTCAGCAAACACACACACACTACGCACGCGCATACACACAGACACACAGACACACACACACACACACAGATGGTCAGTCTGTCCTAATCAGACTGTACTCGAAAAGCCATCACATACTCTCATTTTGGAGTGTGTTAACAACATCATCGAGAATACAGTCAGGAGAAAATCCGGAAGTCTTTGACAGCAGTCCCAGCAAGGAAGCCACCTTGAGTCTGACGGAAGGATCATTCTCCTACGGTGATAAAAAGAGGGCATAGGTTTTTGGGTTAGATAACACTCATCTAGACAAACCAAGAGTCCGAATCAGCATAAGGGTGTTTCGTATTATCTTGTTTCCAATTTGCTTGTTTCTAATATTTATATATCACCTTTCCACAAGTGTCTCCAAGGCAATGGACAACATCCATAGAAACATAAGAAAAACAGAACCGTACTGAAACACCAAAACAGTACACAAACAGTTTAAAAGGCCAAATTAAAAGAGAGGCATCTCAACAGCTTTCTAAACATCAAAGAAAGTGGGAGGCAGTCATGGGTCTGAAGAGAAAAGTCTAGACTTTGCCAGCCATGTTAGACAAATTAATTAATTCATTAATTATGGTTTTCCTCTCGTGGGGACCCAAAGCCCCACCCACTCCTGCTTCTCCCCCATAAAACAATCTAACAGATCCTTCATTTGCAGGAGCAGTAGGACTAAGGCAATAAAAGTTCACAAAGTTTTCTCCTCAAGACCGCCAGGTCTACCTTGTAATAATGCTCCAGGAGGATCCGGACAACACCTTCCACGCTTTCAGCTTCCACTGGTTTCCTGGCAAACTGAAGCAGGTATTGTAAAGCATCTGCGGGCGAGGTAGCCTTGCAAAGATCAACATGGAGGGCTGCTGATTTGCTTGGTTTGGTCAGCCGGAGCTTCTTTGCCGAAATTTCTTCATGCTGCTGTTGCTGAAGCATTCACATGGCGTTAAGATATGAGAGAAGCATCATCATCATATTACTTTCCACCAGCTACTCAAAAATTGTCTCCTTATTAGGATTATAGTCTCCCACCCAGAACATGGCATCACATATCATAAGAAACCAGAGATGCCCATATGCAACATTCTAGAAAATCTGAGGCTAAATGCTGTCTTCTAGGCTAAAAGCCTGGAATTTCAGGGTCCCTCTTAAAGAGAGGCTTTAACATAAATGATCCCAGAATCCTAAAACAAGGATGGACAAGTTGTGGCTCCCCAGAGGTTGCTGAACTGTAGCAACCATCGTCCCCGTCTGCTACACGGACTAGGGCTGATGGGAGTCCCAGCCCAACATCAGGAGGGCCCTATATTGCCCTTCCTGTCCTGAAGTACCCAATTTCAAGCCTGAAAAAAATCACAGGTCTTAGATTTCATTTGCTGATAAGAGGCGTTTATCATTCTCAGTGCAAGCAGAGGCACCTCTTCAAAACGGTAGCAGGAACTCCCCAAGATGCAACACTCTTTCTTCTAAAACGGAGTATGTGCCTAGAAAACTTGCATGAAAGAAAAGAGGAAACCTGGTTACTATTCCCTACAACATTCAGACTACTTGGGGAAGGGGTTCAGTTAGCTTTAAAAAAGCCCCCATCGGTCTGCAAGCTTAAATGGTACAACCCAGATACAGTATGTACAGGTTTACCATCTCACGTTTACCATCTCAGTGAGAAACGCGGCCCATGTTATCCGTAATTCGTTTTTCTAGAGCGTTGGGATTAGAAGGGACAACAAGCAATCGATCTTCAACCCATTACAGCAGTCTGCGAAACATAACGACCCAATGCGACTCTTACCTCGTATCTCACTTAGGACTCGGGGATTTCTTCTTCTTCTTTACTACAACCCCCAGCTATATTGGATCCCGAAAATGTGGTTCCCCCCCCCCCAAGCTGTGATCTTGGGAGCACCACCGACCTCAACCAGCATCCTTTCAAAGCTAAGTCAAATTAGCCAAGGGGTGCCTGACTCTCCTCACTAAGAACCCACTCTTTCACAGAACATAGAGAGGCTCAGGTAGCAGATTTATCTCAGACAGAAAGAAAGTAGGATGGGGATATCCTGTCAAACCTCGTAGGATGATTGTTAGGACAGTGGCAGGTGCTGCTGAACTCCACTGACTTAGGGTCCCACCTCCACCAAAAAAATAATAATAACGAGACAGAATATCAACTGCAGGCCAGCTAAAAAGCAGCTCCCCGACCCCCAGGTGCCTGACCCTTCAGGCAGAAGTTCAACAGGGAAAAAACTTCCCTAGAAGTATGGGATAACTCTGGCCTTCGTTCTTCCCCGACCCTCACCCCCCCCCGAACTCGTTTCCAGGCTCTTCGGTTTCCCCACCCGCAAAAAGATGCCAAAAAAGTTCTTCAAAGCGGGTCCCCCCCCCCTCCGGCGTTACCTGGACGACCACTTTACTGAATTCCTCGTAAACCCTCTTCTTTAAGTGAGCCGCCATCTTGGAAGCCTGCGTTTCCCTTCCCGGAGAGGATTGGCCCTCCCCGGCCACCGTACTCGGCGCTTCTGGACACGAGCGAGCCAAAGAGTTCCGGTTTCGTTATTTTTCTGTCCCGAGCGCCACTCGACGCTTTCTTCAGGCTCCCCACCGAATCGCGTGGATGCCTCCATGTGCGGGGCTAAAAAGGGAAGAAAGAGTGGCACGCAAGGCAGGCATCCACTCAATGAAACAAAGCAGAGTGAGAGTTACTGCTTCACTTGCGAGGCTCTGAAAGCTCACTGGAGCAATTCATAGTCGCAGTTTTAGAGTGACTCAAGGTGGGAAGCCTTCCCAAATAAGAGGAACCATCCTTTCACATTAGTCTCCTTGAAGAGGCGGAGGCAAAGAGCAGCATTATTACTCGAAAGTACTGCACATGAAAGGCCAGAGTGCTGCAGGTGCCTTTTTAGAACAAACCAAAAATTTGAAATTTTCATTTACTTCGAACACCTCTTGCTCTTCACGTGGTTGATATTAATTAAGCTGCGACGGGGATCCGGAAGTTGAAGTACAAAACAACCTGAAATTCCAACCCTTTGTGGGTAAACTATAGAGACTACAGCACCAAGTGGGAAAGAACGGTCAACCTTATGCGTTCCTCTCTAGTCCCTGCAGAATTCTCTTCTTTATGGTTGCCAGGAACGAGGAGAGCAATTTCTAGAGCAGCTGATTGTTGTTTAGCTTGCTACGACTTGGGGCTTAATATTTAAAAACAATTTTTCTTGGACTGGATGGGGTTTTTTTTTGCTAGCTGGAGAGTGCTTAATGCCAGTAGGTGGTAGTGCAATTAATATTTGCACATTAATGATAGGTGGTTAATGATTATTGGAGTTAATAAGATCAACGTCAGTGTACAGTACTGCACATATTTTTTTTCCTTTGAGATATGTATCACAAAGCTTGGCAATCATTTGTGGTTAAGGTAGCAATTGAATCCAGGAGCAAAAAAGGGTTAGGTTCTTGATCCTTGCTCTATACATAGGGCTGATTTTCATTATACAGTGGTGCCTCGCTAGACGATGATAATCCGTTCCACTGACATCGCTGTTTAGCAAAATCATTGTCTAGCAAAAAACATTTCCCCATTGGAATGCATTGAAACCTGTTTAATGTGTTCCAATGGGGAAGAATCGTCGTTGTCTAGCGAAGATTGGCCATAGGAAACCCGCTTTGCGAACCACCTATCAGCTGTTTAAATCGCTGTCTTGTGAAGCTTAGGTCCCAAAAACACCCATTTCACAAGCACGGAGGGAGCTGTCAAAATCGTTGTCTAGCGAAAATGGGTTTGCGAAGCAGGGACCCAACATTGTCCAGCGAAATTCCCCCATAGGAATCACTGATATCCGAATCACTATAGCGATCGCAAAAAGTCCATGTCTAGCGAAAAAGCTGTCATGCGGGGTAACTGTCTAGCGAGGCACCACTGTACCTGTTTTGAGCTTTCTCTGTGCGTCTAGTCTGTCATTGCTGTGATACTATACCTTTGGGCTGATTGTGTTCTTTGTGGAGAGAGGAGGTGTAGTGGGTGTGAATGACAAACATGGGTTTGTATACACACATATAGTGTTCTAAATACAGCACACAGAGAAATTGTTCCAGAACAGTTTAAAGGTCTCAGTCGTTGTAACTTTTTAGCTGGGCCACTTCTCCTTTTGCACATTGCTTACTTTGAGTCATCTAGGTAGTATATGCACACAAACTGATAATAAGAACATAGGATTTTTTTCAAATTTCCCACCTTAATCAAGTTTCGAAGCCTCTGACGCAGCCGCTTCTGACTTTGATCCTTCTGAAAATATGTAGGTTTCTTTCCTAAACACCTCTGTGAGACATCTCTTTGTATACAATTTGCCAAAAAATGGCAGGGGGGGATCATTGGGGTAAGCAAATCCTCTTCTGAAATCTCCAGTATGGTAGAAGTGGCTGTTTTGCGGACACAGCCACACATACGAAGCTAGGTCTGACATTCAACCGGCTTAATCCTCTCAGCAAACATGCCTGCAAGTTTCACCTAGTCCTGCCAAGTTTCATTCCCTTTGAAAAATAAATACCCCTTTAAAATGGAAAGGCTGCTTCCAGAAGAATTTCTTCCGGTGCTGATTTGTCTGAAATTTGACATGCTTCATCCTACCAGGAGAAACTGCTGCTTGGGTAAAGTCATAAAAAAAAAAAAGAATGGATACAACTGTCGGTTGATTTCTCATTTACAGTCAGTGGGGAGACGTGAAGCTTCAATTTTTTCAATATGAGATTCTGTGCACTTCATTCCTTCATTTCAACTCACATACTGCCCCCATAGGGCTTAGAGCACTCTCTGGTTGATTTACAATTTAATTATGCAGGCTACACATTGTAAACCCCCCCCACCCGCAAGCTGGGTTCTCAATTTACCGACCTCAGAAGACTTGAGTCAACCAGCTAATGAACCCATTGGGATCGAACCCTAGTCATGAGCGGAGGCTTCACTGCACTACTGCAATTTAACCACTGCACTACGAAGCTCGCTCACTGGGCAAAAGTCCAAACCACCAGGTATCTTATACCTGGTGCATGATCCTACTGCACCCAAAGATGACATCTTGTTGATTCAGGACAGACACATTTGGAAGCTCTGGAGATGAATTTTCTCATTGGGATCGAACCCTGGTCATGAGCGGAGGCTTCACTGCAGTACTGCAATTTAACCACTGCACCACGAAGCTCGCTCACTGGGCAAAAGTCCAAACCACCAGGTATCTTATACCTGGTGCATGATCCTACTGCACCCAAAGATGACATCTTGTTGATTCAGGACAGACACATTTGGAAGCTCTGGAGATGAATTTTCTCACCTCCAGGAGGATCCACCGAGCTTCCAAATGGGAGCAGAAGCAAGAATCCCCCATGGGAAGCAGCCAGACATCTGTTTCCTGTTTGGGGTTGGGACCGTAAGTCTTCTACAAGAGGAAGGGCCTTCTTCACGGTGGCTCCAGCCTTGTGCAACCAGCTTCTGGAGGAGCATCGCCTAGCCCACCTCTCTGTTGATATTTAGAAGGCCACGAAAGACGTGGCTCTTCAACAAGGCTTTCCCCACCAACCCTAGCTGACTGCCCATTTTTGTTTTGCATCCACCTGGTTTCTGTAGGATTGGTTGGCTGGCGCCAGTAGCCTGAGCAGTGATTTGCTACTGTTTTTTTGTATTTTTATCTCAACCTCTGCATTTCAATGGGCTTTTTAATTTCGCTTTCAACCTCTGCATTTCAATGGGTTTTTTAATTGCGCTTTACGACGTTTTCGCTGTACAGCGATTTCGCTGGAATGAATTAACGTCGTTAAGCGAGGCACCACTGTACTTTATTTATTGTAGACTTCCCAGGGTAAGTGCTTCATCACTAATTGGGAGCAGTATATAAACTGAGAAAATAAATAATAATAAATTTTGTTTGAGAGGCAGAACAAGGCATGTGATAGCCAGCTGGGAAGCAGAGACTGCTTTTTTGAAATCACTTATTTCTGGATAACTGAAGGTGGAACAAAGAGTTTTTCCTCTTGTGCTGCTATTCCACGATGTGAAGGTGGCTCATGTGGAATTAAACACAGAAACAGCCTCATTCTCTTTGATGTTTTCCAGTTTTATTACAGACCAACCTGTTTAGGAACAGATTTAGGTACTACATGTATGGGAGTCATTAAGCGATTTGTGTGGTTTCCTATGCTTTAAACTCCACAGCCAATATTTTATGGGAACTGATTGTAAATTAAGAAACTTTAAAAGGAACAGAGATGAAGAGTTCTATTTTGAAGAGAGGAAACAAAAAAAAAGTTAATAGCTGAGCATTATTTTTAATAAATAAACATCAGGGCTTAAACCTACCCATTATTCTAAATGCAGGGTTTGGTTCTCAAAGGCACTTTGTACATGCTTAATGGCACTTGCATCAACATTTTAATGCTGAAAAGAAGCATTGCCTGAGGCTAAATTGCATGTTGTATTCAGCTAGATTGCATTTAGCGGTGCTAATATACCTGGTCTCTGACCTGTAAAGTTATAACTGATAATAAAAACCAGCTTCTTCCAATTTTGCCCCTTACTTGTTTTCGTCCTACTTTTGCACCCTCGGCGGTAAAAAAAAATGGACTTGTGCAGAAAGTCGTTGGAAGAAAAAATAAATACTTAGTTTCTTCCAGTTTTGCCCCTTACTTGTTTTTGTCCTACTTTTGCACCCTCGGTGGTAAAAAAAAAAAAAAAGGAGTTGTGCAGAAAGTCGTTGGAAGAAAAAATAAATACAGTACTCATTTAGCATAGCAGATATAGCATGCATCAGTAAAAGAGAATAGCCATAGCATAGTTTAAAAGTAAACACAAACTCACCCACAGCATGTGATTTGTTCAAATATTGCTAAAGAGCAAGAATTGTACATCTACAGCTACTTTGGGTATCTAAAATACATTCCAGCACTGGAATTGTATGGGCACTTACCTGGAAATAAACCCTTTTACTTTGGTATAGGCTAAACTCACTGGGGCTTACCTCTAGGTGGGTAAACTCAGAATTGCATTGTTCATCTTACTCTTAAGTAAAGAGCAAGTACATCTACAGCTACTTTGGGTATCTAAAATACATTCCAACACTGGAATTGTATGGGCACTTACCTGGAAATAAACCCTTTTACTTTGGTATAGGCTGAACTCACTGAGCTGAGGCTCTAGGTGGGTAAACTGAGAATTGCATTGTTCATCTTACTCTTAATGGCTATTTCAACAGCAGGATTTGGGGTTAAGATACCATATTTTTCTGTGTATAAGACACCCCATGTATAAGACGGCCCCCACTTTTCTAATCCAAAATTAAGAAAAATAAGTGGGGCTTAGCAAGTGTAAGGGGAAAGGGATCAAAGTGCTGCAGGATCGCTTTGATCCCTGCTTGTTTTTGTTTTCTCTTCAGCTTACTTCCGTGTATAAGATGACCCTCAATTTTTAGTCTAAAGATTTTAGACAAAAGTATAGTCTTATGCATGGAAAATACGGCAAATCTTGCCATTCCTACAGGGCAGTGGTTTTCAACCTTGGGTCCCCAGCTGTTCTTGGACTACAACTCCCAGAAATCCCGGCCAGCACAGTGAGTGGTGAAGGCATCTGGGAGTTTTCATTCAAGAACATTTGCAGACTCAGGGTTGGGAACCACCGCTGTAGAATAAAGATGAGAGAGATGGGTTTAAGAATCTGTGGTGTATTCTATGTTAGTGCAAACAGGTTGTTGCAGGATCGGGGACCTTGCCACTGTCTTA